TCACTTTAACTACGAACAATCATGCTTAAGCTCTTGGAAAGATAGAGCCTGGAAGTAGGATTGGAATCAACTGGTATAAATACAGATGTAACAAGACAACAGGACACAGAACCTAGAGACAGAACCTAGAGACGGAACATGGCAAAAGATCCTGGACAGAAACTGGCAACAGAACCTAGAGACAGGACCTAGCGAGAGAACATGGCAAAAGGTCCTAGACAGAACCTGGCTGAAGAACTCGGCTACAGAACCTGGCGACCAAACCTGGCTGGAGAACCTAGCTGGAGACAGAACTTGGCTGGAGGACTGGCTACAGAACCTGGCTGGAGACCCTGACAAGAGAACCCGGCTATGATGATCACCTGAACGCTGCTTCTGTGTCATTCCTTCTTTGCCGACTCCGTCCACACCTTTGGGGACCCCTGGACCTGCTGGGGCTGGACCCCAGCACTCTTCTTCTAAGGACATAAATGCCATCACGGGGGCTCCTCCACTGCCATTACCTAACTGCCTCCCAAAGTCTCCACCTCCAAATATCATCACAGTAGGGCTTCAACTTATAAACTTTGGGGGCACAAAAACATTCAGTCCATGGCACCCTCTATTAAAATTTTGTTATCAGTCTGAAATGCGTTTTCTATAAAGTACAGTGTGTGAAATATACTTTATTTGGATATACAAACAAAAATGGTAAAATTGTAATCTTTTTATTTCTTAGTTTATTTATACCTCATCTGATTCCAGAAGGGATTTAAAGAAACTCACCCGACTCCTTTGATCTAACGCCCAGGAAGCTCTGTTTATTCCAGAGGCCTCACATGGGACGATCTAAAGGGAAGTCAAGGGGGCCTTTCCTCCCTCCTCCTGGGGAGCAGACATGGATCCAAGTGATCATTTTACTTGCCTTCTTCCTGGGACTGTGCAATAGGAAGCAGTGTGGCCCCGGAAACAAGCACCAGCCCCGAGGGGTTCTCCTCCACGGCTGGCATCTACCCAGGAATGAGCCACGGTCCCTGCTTCTAGGTGATGCTTCATCCCACAAGTGATAGGGCCTTCACGGGAGGCGGGTAAGGAGCACCAATCATTGTGTGTGTGTCTCTCTCAGGAGAGAAAGAAAGCAGGAGAGGGAAAGATCCTGAGGGGAAGGAGTGCAGGGAGGACCAGTAGAGGGTGAGGGAAGGAATTAGGGAAGGTAAGGGGGCGGGGCGGGGAGGGGGGCCGTTATAAATAGTGGAAAATAACTTTTTGGAGGAGGAAGAGGAGGAAGAGGACTGATATGTATTTAGGCACTTGTTCAGGGGGAATGTTTGCTCGTGGTTGATAAGCCAGAATGGAGTTAGGGTTGACGTGGGAATATTTCAGGCAGGAGGTGGGCATGACGCCTGTCAGTGCAGGATGCGTTGGGAGCGTGTGCATTGCGCAAATCGTAGTACAACGTATGCGTAGATGATACTCCAGACACCTGAACTGAACTCTCCCATCTGATGGCAGAGTCCAGGCTGTCCCACTTTCTCAGTACTTGTATGTGAAATGGCCAGGACGATTAGGGGCATTTTCTGCGGACATGGAAAAAGTGAATCTCGTTGGCTCACTTATAACTAGACTTAATGAGGTTTGGATGTTGTCTTGTTTCTTAGACCTATCAGGAAGCTACACACACACACACACACACACACACACACACCACACACACACACACACACACACACACTTAAACCCAAGAGATGCAAGAACCAGCTGGGCCCATTCCTGCCACACGGTACTTGAGCTTGCTATTCCTTCTGCCAGGAACTTTTTTTTTTTTTAATGAACAGATGGGTAGAGATACTTTTATAAAACCAAAATAGTCATATTTCGATACAATTTTAAATTTAATTTTACGGAGGCCCTCCTCCCAATTCTCCCAAACACACGGAGCTCCTTATGAAGTCAAGTGCCCGTCTGCATCCTGGGGTGACTGCCTTGCATCCAAATGGGCCACAGACACAGGCCTGTGGGTATAGAGAGGACGGAGCAGGGGACACCTGAAGATGGAGGAGGAACCAGGTGAGGATGGAGGAGAGGCCACGTGAAGATGAGGGGGAGGTGGAAGGGATGGGGCCAGGAGCAAAGGAGTCCCAGGAGCCCCTAGAACAGCAGTTCTCAATATGTAATTATATATGTGTTTTCCAATGGTCTTAGGTGATCCCTGTGAAAGGGTCGTTCGACTCCCAAAGGGGCCGCGACCCACAGGTTAAGAACCGCTGCCCTAAGGAGTCCTGCCTGGGCCTGGGCTTCCTGGAGCACCTGGGTTGACAGGAGCCCACAGCCGGCTGCTGTGCCCATATTCTAGATGCCAAGACTGAGGCTCAGAGAGGGGGAGCAGAGATCCCTACCCCAGCCCACCGCCCCCTCCACTCAGCCCAGCTCACAGGTGGCTTCCCCAGCTGCCTCCGGTTGCCATGGTGTCAGAGGAGGAGGTGGAGGGGCAGATTTGTGAATTCATATCCCGGGTCTTTAACAGGTAAAAACCTGACAGCGTTGTGCTGGGGTCTTATGGTGGTTCAAACGGTGGGAGACTGTGTTTGGATATAAAAGCGGGTTCCTGCTCCCGGTTTTCCTTCCCCATGTCCTGAAGGCGGACAGAAGAGGGTGGGCATTACTGTTTATTGATTTTGATCCTTTGGAAAAGAGAGAAGAGCCCTAGTCTCTGGACATGCTTTACATTTTCTCTTGTTTTAGTATTTGTGCCCGTCGTGCTTGTCCACAAGGAAGGAAGGAAAAACAATGTAGAGAGAGGGTTAATGACCTGAGGAGAGAATACCCTTTCCAAATGGGGAAAGATACCTTTTCCTCTGCTTTCCTTTTGACCAGAGATGGAGCGATTGGTTGAGAAACAGAAAAATAAGTCATGTGTGAACCCTCATCTTGAATGGCGTCCGGCAGGGGGTGGCGGTCTCAGCCACAGCACCTCTGTTTTCTGATGGGCAGGGCTACTTGTTGAGAGGAGCTAACTTGCTCAATGTTAAGAAAGGGCTGGGTTAGATAGAGGCTAGGGGTGGGGAGCGGGGAGGCTAAGAGATGAGGGCGGTGAAGCAAGTGGGGGAAACTGGAACCTGCCCTAACTGAGGCTGAGCCCTGAAATGGGGTACATGCCAAAAAAAACCCTACCAAGCTCTGGGGCCAGGGGGTTGGAACCCCATCATGCCCAGTGGGGGGTTATGAACTGGTGTGCTGTATGGCGTGTGATGCAAGACTACACATCCCTTCACAATCTTTAGTAACATCTACTGTGCTCAGTGGCACTTTTAGAACAAATGAGTTCGTTCTGGGAAATGAGCAGGAGTGCTCTGTATCGCTGACACGGGGCAGGGCAGAGCTATTCCAGGAACATCTGCGTTCCAGTTGCAGACCCAGAAAATGTGTAAAGAATGCACAGTTTTTCTCAGAGTATAGGCCCGGGGATCGAAGGGTGGAGGGTTCGATTCCCAGTCAAGGGCACATACCTCGGTTGCAGCCTCGGTAGGGATGCATGTGGGAGGCAACCAATCATTGTGTGTGTGTCTCTCATGGATGTTTTTTTCTCTCTCTCCCCCACCTCCTCCTCCTTCCCTTCTACTCTCTCAAGAAACCAATGGAAAAAAAATATCCTCTGGTGAGGATTAAAAAAATATATATGCACATTATTTAACATGTCCATGTACAAAAACGGGTAGCAGTGGGACGAGGTGTTTGTACGTGAAATCCTTTTCTTATCAAGAAACTACTGGCTATTGCTGAAAGGGTACTCTGGGATTTCAGACTTGCTCACCGGGTCTTGCTATGGGAACAACATCAATGGTGGTTCATTCATCTCAGCATTTCAGCTGTTCATTCAGAAATCTTCCTTGAGTACCTATGACGTTGCAGCCTCTGTGCGAGAGACTATGTGACAGAGTGGCCAGCCAGCCAGAACCAGTCTCTGGATGCATATGGACTGGCACGGAGCCTTCGGGACCTACACCATCCCTCACAATCGGAAAATCTTACTGAACACCGCTGAGTTTCTGTACGAGCGCATCGGAGGGCTTACACCTGGAATAGACGGAGACCATCCTGAATTGTCCTGAATATGTTTATATTTAAATATGTCCCAGATGATAAAATAGAAAGAATGCTTCATGTGATCAGAGAGCAGCACCAAAGCCCTTCTGAAGTGTTCCCTGGGCCGCAGTGAATCGCTGAGATTTCCGGCAGGGACTCGGCCGCTGCCATCTCCGTATCTTTTCGCTTGGCTACCGGGGGTGTACTTGCTTTGGTTAAGAGTCTGCCTCCAGGTGCTGCGCCGGGGACTCGGTTACTTGAGGGATGCTTCTCCTGAGGTGGAAGTCAACCTGGAAGAAAAGAAGAGGATGCTAGGAGAGCAGAGGAGGCGGTTTTTGACTTCCTGACATTGAAATTGGGGGAAGACCTGTGTGGACCCTGTTTCACCACAGTTGCAGGTTCGGAGTGCAGGGGACTCAGGAGAATTATCACAGCAACGATCCCAAGCAGCACTGGTGGTGTCATATAGGCTTGGCTAATATTCCCCCAAAGTGCTACCTAAGGTGACACATAAGGTATACCTGGATGAACTTAATATTCATTCACTTTATATGTATTTGAAAAAAATTATGCCTACAACTCAAACCACGATTTTGCCAATACTGTTGCCTCGGACAAGAACTAAGGTTGATGGTGCCATAATAACCCCTTTCCGCTGACTGTGAATCCCAGGTGACGTGCTCCGGCACGCACTCGCTGCAGATCCTCAGAACTAAACTTCCTGCCACCATCGTTGAGAAACACAGATCGGAGAGATGAGATAGACTGTTAATATGGATTCTTAAATTCCAAATTGCCGTGCGCATTAATGCATCCTTTCCAGTAATACCTGGGAACTTCGCTTCCGGCTGTGGCACACAGATATCATGATGGTACTGACCAACAAGCTGGGATATGCTGGCTGTGCAGGAGCTGCAGAACCATCCCAGGAAGTACAGGGAGAGGGAGTGGCTCAGTGTTCGAACCACCCTTCCCCGAGGCGCCCTCAGCTTCCAAGCCCCTGGAACAGTGGGAGCTGCTGAAGCCGCTGGGTGTGGGAAAACTTGTGACTAAGAGGGCTCTCCAGGGATGATTTCTTGCCCCTTCCACAAAAATCTACAGTCAGCTTTTCTGCTAGTTCCCCAAAGTCAGGGAAGTCAGCACCAATGGCTCGAGAGTAATACAGGAATTTAGAAAAGAAACAAGAAGCAACGAAGTGAGAAAAGGAAGAGGGCCATGAGAGAAATGTGACATCTAGAAGGCTGTGGGAAAGCAGAGGGGGAACCCCGACGCTGGGAGGTGTCTGAGAGGGTCTTCATTGTAACGTGAAAACCACCCAGTCAGGGGTCTTTTTCTCCCCCTCCCCCACCTCGCCCCCAGCCAGTGGATCTCTGCTTTAGAATGGGAAGACTCTACTGTGATCACTAAGTGGATTCTTAGTTGTTATGGAATCTGGGAATTGTATCCAAGAAACAACATATTAATGGGTTATGTTAATTTATTGAAAGGCCATATCACACAGGAGTTGAAATATTTTGAAGCAGCGCATGTCACTCAAGATTTGCAGTTGGTTGCATTTGGCCCTGAATAGACTTGCTTTATTTTTTTTAATTTAATTTTATTGTTTAAAGTATTACAAATAGTAGTACATATGTCTCCTTTTTTTCCCCATTGACTCCCCTTCCAGCCCCCCTCCCCTACCCTCTGGCACATGCAGTGTCTTGTGTCCATTGGTTAGCGGAGGGTGGGGGGTAAGAGATCAACCGAAGAACTTGTATGCATGCATATCAGCATAACCAATAGACTTGCTTTAATGCAAGACACATGCATACAGCTGCCTAACTGTTCATTTGATTTTAGGGCAGATGAGGAGCAGAGGGTATCATAAGAAAAAAAGGGAAATTGGGACCGGGAACAGGCTACAGTGGAAGAGTTACGCGGCTTTCTGCCTCTGCATGGAAGTCATTTACAATGTGCAGGAGAAGGGAGTGATCACTGAGCCTCTTTATCTTTAAGATCCTAATCTAATATGACTAGAGCTCAAAAGATTTAGGCTTATAGACGAACACTCTTTGCTTCTCGTGTAAAACATGCCATGGAAAGTTGAATGTCAGCTGGTTCTTGCTGAGGCGAGTGGGAAGGAAGGGGTCTGGGCACATGGCGCACTAGAAGGGGGCAGAGTGCCATCTGGTGGTAGTCCTTGCTGATGGCACAGAAGAATGCAGCCCCTGGGAACCCGTGCATCTGGCAAGGTCTCTGGGACCTTGAGAACTAACATTTGCCGGGCACCTTCTAGGTGTCAGTCACTGTACTGCATGCTCTACGTGCAGGTTCTCATTTCAATCTCCTGTGAAGGCGGTACCACTGCCACCAGTTTACAGACGAAGAAGGTGAGGATGAGAGCCATTGGCTAATGTGTCTACAGTCTGTGGACGAGGGAGCTGGATTGAGAAGCAGACAGTGCTTTTAACCAGTGCGCTGTTAAACAGGAAAAGGAAAAGTCAAAAGGAAGTGGGGAAGGATATAACAGGAAAGTGATGGAAGAAAAATTAGCGTGTGAGAGCAATGAGACTTTTTTATGGCGAAAGAGGAAAGACTGGCAAAGAGTAGAGCTGTGCGATTGGTTGTTTGTGACGCAGTATGAGTGATCTTTACACGCTCGGTACAAGTCAGCCTAACTCACCCGTTTGGGTTCCCCGGGACCCACGGTCACAGTCACAGTCTTTGGGTCAAAGCCAGGTGCCGTGGCAGTGACAGTGTAGGTGCCTGGAAGCAGCAGCCGGAAGTAGTCACCGTGATCACCTAAAGGTTACAAGGATATAACTCAGGCTGCTGATTAGAAACTGCCCCAGATATATAGTCTTTTTAAAAAATATATATATTTTTTATTGATTTTTTACAGAGAAGAAGGGAGAGGAATAGAGAGTTAGAAACATCAGTGAGAGAGATCGATCAGCTGCCTCCTGCACGCCCCCTACTGGGGATGTGCCCGCAACCAAGGTACATGCCCTTGACCGGAATCAAACCTGGGACCCTTCAGTCTGCAGGCCGACGCTCTCTCCACTGAGCCAAACCGGTTCGGCAAAGTCTTTATATGAAAAAGCGATCTGAGGGTTTCAGCCGACCATAAGCTTGATTTTTCTTAATAGCGTAATGAAACCGGTTAAGATCTAAAACAATCACAGGCTACTTTACCTAAGAGGAGCATGGGCCCCAGCTCCTCAGAAACAGGAGTTGCCCTGCGAATATGGTGTTTGACTCTAGACCCTGTGTTTTTAAAAACTCATGTCCAGGAAAGGGTCACTGGGAGGAAGGTTGAATATCTGTGAATGCCTTTGCTTGGTAAAGAGAATGCATGCGACCTCGGGTTCAATACCTGGAAAGCCACCATGAAGAAATAAGCAGGGGGACTTTGGGGTTAAGTTGCTGGGAGGAACATTTTGCTAGACAGAAGCGAAGACTACTGGGACACATGGAGCTTCCACACAGGAAATGAACTGCTTTAGGGAATTGTGAGGACTTGGGCAGAGACCGTGGAGGGCGCTGGGGAAGCAACACCGCTGTGCAGTGCACAGCTGCCCCAACGGGCGTGGTGGCCTGGGTTGGACAACCTGCTGTCTCCGTGGTGTGGTTCACGTACAATCTTACATTGAGTGGGAGGGCTGGACTGAATGACCACTGAAGGTCTGATTTTGAGAATCCTATTTTCAATATATCTTCCATCACCTCTAAAAGAGAAAAATAAAATTCAAAAAGAGGCCTGTCGCTCTATGGCAGGGATGTAGCAATTTGGTTATTGACCTCACATCTCTTTTGAACCAATTGTGACCATGCCTTTAAATTTCTTTTTAAGTGTCCAGCAATGAATAATTGAAATAAATGCAATTAAGAGTGAGACGGTCCATAAACAGTGAGAAAGTCTCTTTTCTGGCCCCTGTTAAATGTCTGTAATTTACTTTAATATATTTTAGTAAAAGCAGTGTCTTATTATGCTTATGTTGGACAGTTTAAGTCATACCCCAGGGCTATCCTTTTCTTAACCAAGGGCTCACATCCAGGTGAGGTGGCTAGGATTGTATCAGAAAGGCCCAATTCCAATAAAAACTAAACAGTATTTGCATATAACAGTCATACACTCAAACCCAACATGGTTATTTAAAAGATAGAATACTGAATTAAAGACCCACAGATAAAGGTGTCCTTCACCACAGATAATTTGATAGACTTCATTATAAGTAAGTCCACGGGCCCTACTGCTGGGAGCACCAAAATCAATCTCGTTTTCTTTCTTTCCAGTTGACCCAGCGATCCTGTTCTTTCCCTGCTTCGTACTACCATGATATCGGTCAAGAAACCCTCATTTTAATTAAAAAGAAAAAAGAAAAAAAAGAAAGGCCCAATTCCAGAAGCAGCTATTATGAGGGCATCAGCCATCTTTATCTCTAATCAACACTAGATGCTGTAAGTAGGATAATGAGTGCTAGCAATGAGGTTTTTCCCCCCACAGAGGTAAAATGAGCAAGTTATTAATTCAGCATAATGGATACTGGAAATGGGCCCTTATTGGTGAAATCAGTGGTATTCAATATATGTCGATTGGCTAGAATGTTCCAGAGGCATTCCCCACCCTTGGTGTGAATAAGGAATAAGTCTAGCAAGCCCTGAAGCTCTTCGGGACACCTGAGGTTTGATCTCTAAACAGTCCGGGGCCCAGCCAGTGGTCTGATGCTTCCTTGTGAATCCTGCCTTGAGAATATCACACTGCCTTTGCCTTGAATGAGCCTTTCATGTAAGGTATGTTGGGATCATCTTAGAGAACATGAGTTATCTCCTTAAAGCTGAGATTTCATCCAGTTTCAACAGACTGTCTGAGCTGTAAGGTGTCTGCTGGTGTGGTAGACTGTGGCTGAGCCTTGCTGGTATCGAGGCAGGCAGGTCTCACTTGCCCCTAACCATTGGTAGCCACTGCGTTACTTTAAAAACAAAAACAATATGCGGGCACATCCCCAGTAGGGGGTGTGCAAGAGGCAGCTGATCGATGTTTCTCTCTTCAATGTTTCTAACTCTCTATCCCTTTCCCTTCCTCTCTGTAAAAAACCAATAAAATATATTTTTTAAAAAACAAAAACAAAAACAATACTAAAACCCCTACAAGATGTGCATGATCCAATGGGGCTGGGGCCGTTTGTAACACCATCGTGCATGAGATGTTCTGAACCATGTCGGAGGTCCTGTCAATCTTGCCCTGCACCAGGTTTATAGGCTGCAGCTTGCTAGCTTTGTCCTGAATGGAGGTGTCGTGACACACACACCTGGGGCAGGGACAAGACTAAGCATCCGGTTTACAGTCCTTTCTCTTTCTACCCCTTTCCCGCCAGTATGAGAGCTATTACTATTACTAGCTGCAAACCCAGAAAACACCCCTGACAAAGTGACATGAGGCAGTGGCTCCTGATGCTGAGGGAGGTGTGACATTTGCATTTTCCTGGTTCTGGCCTCTTAACTCACTGTTCCCATTTCTGTTACCTTTCCCTCCTCCAGCCCCCCGCTCCCCCCAATGTAATGTCCCCGTGAGTCTCACTGGCTTACAATTTGGCCTCCTGGTGATGCTGAAGAAGAGGGAGTGGCTACCTACCTGAGGTGACATCATGGTTAATCCCACTGACAGCAATGACAGCCTTCGGGAGATAATTATTATTCTCATCAAGCACTATTCCCTTGATGCCATGGTGTACCTGTTAGAGAAAACTTACGGTATAACTGTGATCATAAAACACTGTACAGTGTTTTAGAGGCCCCACAGCCCTGTCTCATATGCTTTCGCATTTAACCTCACAAACATTAGCCTAATAACCCCTTAACTGGTCTCTCTGTCCCCTCTCCTTATACCAAATAATCCCTTTTAAATAGAGCCATCAGGATAGCCCCATTAAAATTTAAATCAAATCGTGTCATACTCCAACCCAACTCAGAGCAACAGTGAAGTTCTTGTGACGGTCTCTAAAGCCACAGCCTCAGCTAGCTGACTGATTTCATCCCCTGCTACCTTCTCCCCTGCCCTTGTGATTATTACAGCCACAATAGTGTTCTGGCTTCGTATTTTTTTTAATTAAAAAAATTTAAATTGTGATAAAATACATGTAGCATACAATTTCTTATTTTAACTATTTTTAGGTGTAGAGTTCAGTAGTGTTAAATATATTCACATTGTTGTGCAAGCAATCTCCAGAACTTTTTCATTCTTTAAAGCTGAAACTCTATACCCACTAAACAAGTCCCATCGCCTTCTCTCTCAGACCCAGGCAACTACCAGTCTACTTTCTGTCTATGAATTTGACCACTCTTTTTAAAAAACATATATTTTTATTAATTTCAAAGCAGAAGGGAGAGGGAGAGAGAAACATCAATGATGAGAGAGAATCATTGATCGGCTGCCTCCTGCACATCTCCTACTGGGGATCGGCAGCAACCCAGACATGTGCCCTTGAGCGGAATCAAACCCAGGACCCTTCAGCCCTCAGGCCAACGCTCTATCCACTGAGCCATACCAGCAAGGGCTTGACTACACTTGATATGTCATATAAGTGAAATTATAAGGTATTTGTCTTTTTGTGATTGGCTTATTTCACTTGGCATAATGTCCACAGGGTTTATTTATGTTGTAGCATGTGGCAGAATTCCCTTCTTTTTCTTTTTCTTTCTTTTTTTTTTTCGGTTAATCCTCACCTGACAATATTTTGCCATTGATTTTTAGAAAGAGTCAAAGGAAGGGGGCGAGACAGAGAGAAACATCAATGTGAGAGAGACACATCGATTGGTTGCCTCCTGCATGCAGTCCAACCAGGGCCAGGATGGAGCCTGCAACCAAGGTATGTGCCCTTGACTGAATTGAACTCAGGACCCTTCACTGAGCCAAACTTGGCCAGAATTTCCTTCTTTCTAAGGCAGGATAATATTCCATTTAATGTATATATCATATTTTGTTTATCCATTTATCTCTCATTGAACACTTGGATTGTTTCCACCTCTTGGCTCTCATGAATACTGCTGCTATGAACAAATATCTCTTTAAGATCCTGCTTCCAGTTTTTTGTTTGTTTTTTTTTGTTGTTTTTTGGGGGGGGGTTTGTTTTGTTTTTTTGGTATCTACCCCGAAGCCATTGTTGGCTCATACGGTGATTCTATTTTTAATTTTTTTGAGGAACTGTAGTACTGTTTGTCACAGCGGCTGCACCATTTTACATCCCCACCAATAACGTACAAGGGTTCCAATTCCTCCACATCCTTGCCGCCATTCGCCGTTTTCTGTCACTGTTTGTGTGATTTCTAAAGCAGCGCCCTAATGGGTGTGCGGCGGTGGCTCACCGTGGGCTTGATGTGCGTTTCCCCGGTGACTGGTGTGTTGCACCTCGTTCAGTGCTTGTTGCTGGCCTTGCAGTTACTCTTGTGTCCTCTCTGAGGGACCCCCTTTTCTCCAGACATCTGCATGGTCTCTCCCTTCCCTCCTTTAAGTCTGCTTAAAGGTCACCTCCTCTGTAAGGCCTCTTCATAGCATTTAGCATGTTATGAGATTTATTTGATTACTTTGCTTATTGTTTGTCTATCTCTTCTCACTAGAATATTAACTCCATATTGATCGGGGCATTTGTTTCTGTATATGCACAATCCCCAGCATAGAGTACAGTTTCTGATGGATAGTTTTGCTCAGTAATGTTGAATGGATACATCTCATTGGTAGAAGAAGCCCAGATATATTGATGAGCCAGAGCAAAAGTGAGACTTGAGCCACACAGAAAACCTTGCCTACCATTGGAAATACCTTCTCTTTCCGTAGCCATAAAAGTTAAAGAATTCAGTGTTACCTGCTCCAAGAATTGGATTAGGGCTTCCCGATTACCCAGCCACTCGCGATGTAATTCCTCTTGGCGGGGAAATTTGTCACAACTCAGTTCCAGCGTGATCTCAAAGCAGTTGGTATGGAGATAATTAAAGTCTTGCATTCCTAGAGGAAAGAGCAGGGGCAGATTTGAACTTCTAACCAGTTTCCCACCCGACGGGCAATTTCAACTCTCTTTAATCACAATCTCTCCACACACACCTGGTTACCTTCTATTCTACCCCTTGATAGTCACTTCCTCCCCTTACCCTTGCTGAGAGAATACCAGGAAGCCCCATTGGTGATGCCATCCGGGAAGTAATCCCCACAGTTCCAGCCATGGTGCATCCACATGTGCATA